GTTTTGGCCCCTTTCTCATTTAGACCTGGGCCAAGGTCTGTTTTGGCCGATTTTATGGTGTATATCTGGTTTTAAATTCCCTCTGCTGGGCTCACATCGGAGCCCAATGGTCGGATGTTGGTGCAAAAATATTACTTAGTTTGCATCAGTCCAGTAACACATTAATTAGGGCCTTTCTTTTATTTTAGAGACAAATTAAGTAGAAAACTATAGATTGCTCTAGGTTTGCACTTTAAAATAATAAAACGGGATGAGCCTCGCTAAACAAAACACATAAATTGCGGGGCCCTCGATAATTGTATATATTAAAATAATTAGATTTCGGGACGGGCCGTTTAGCGAATTTCACGGCCTTCTCCAAAATAATAACGCGTTAGTCTCTTTAGGCGCGTATTTGAATAACATTACCTCCCTAAACTCGGGTGCACATTTATGTGACCCAAATCCAAATCCCAACGATGTTAAAGTATGTCCAAAAACCACGGGTGCATTTATGTGACGTGGTTCAAGACTTGTTTTAATGACGTTGCAATTTTCTTTAAAAATGAATAAAAGCGGTTAAGGTTAAAATTTGCACATAGGTTCATAATTGTTGAAATCAGATAATTTAAGCCAAATATAATAGTTGAGCAACCGTGCTAGAACCACGGAACTCGGAAATGCCTAACACCTTCTCCCGGGTTAACAGAATTCCTTACTCAGATTTCTGGTTCGTTGATTGTAATACAGAGTCAATCTTTTCCTCGATTCGGGATTCAACCGATGACTTGAGATACCATAAATCTCCCAAGTGGCGACTCTAAATCTTTAATAATAAATCCCGTTTCAATTGTCCTTTAATTGGAAAAACTCCCTTATGCCCTTGCGGGTGTAGGTATAAAGGAGGTGTGACAGATTGCCCTTCCCAGTTCCCAGGTGGTGCACTCATTTTGATCTTTTCCTAAGGTGTTAGCCTCTTCAAGGATAACCCGCTCTGATACCAATTGATGTTTTAAGCGTCAATACCACACAAGAGGGGGGTGATTTGTGTGGTACCCAATTTTTGCTATATAAGAACCTGGTTCTTCTAGGTGTTCTAACTATTACTATTTGCAGAATAATAAGTACATAAAATAAAGAACACAGAGATTTTTACGTGGAAAATACCTGGCTCAAAAGGTAAAACAAACCACGACCTACTACTCAGTAGGATTTTCCCAAACTTCCACTAAAATCACTGAGCCAAAACAGCATTTACAAAAACTCTTTGTAAACCTAAGGATTAACTCTAATCCCATTGTGGCACACAGCATCCACTATTACGGCAACTTCAAGTTAGGTATAACTTGAACACTCTAGGTACCTAATACAATTGCTTCTATGAAAGCTGAAAGGTACAACTTTAAACCACCTACTACAATTGAACTAGAATAAAAGATAGACACAATGAAACTGATTCTTCTATCTCGTTCAAGTAGCTTCAGGAGTGCACACTCAAATCACACATAAATTGCTTGCAAAATCACCTTGCTCTTTTGCTCTCGATTTAGTTTAACTTCTGTGTATGTGCATTACCTATAAAAGAGAACAATCACTGTCATTTAATAGGTTAGTAATCAGAGTTTGATTGGGACTCAATGGCTGATCTTCTATCGTAGAAGAGTTCATGAAGATCTCAAACTCTAACATTATCTTTTATCCGGATTTTGTTCTCTTCATATAAGAAGACTTTCTCTCCGTATCTAATATGCAACCTTTTCGATCAGATCAGAAGATATTGCTGCTTGATCAGTAGGACTTATCTCCTTCACGATCATCTCACATGTATAGGTTGATCATGACTGTGTTTCACAAGATGGACCTGGTCCATGACTGAGTTCATTTGTCATTATTCAAAACTTCACCTGTTTTTCGGCCAACAAGCTCGTATTGGGTGAGACGAGATTTTTGGATCTGGGATCAATGCGATCGGATTATATGAATCATATTAAAGAGTAAATATCATTATTTGGTTAATAATGAGGTAGTGGTTCCTGTCAGACAGAGAGACTCAGCGATTTATTAACATGGTAGTTGGTTATGAATTTCTACATATCTCTTTTGTCGTGGAGGTATTGCATAAGTTGGAACAAGACTTATATATGTCATGAGGTGCATTGTGAGCATCATATTCGTAAAATTTCGGCTATTGTTATCAGAGGATATTATTATGGGCATGTGAGTTATATAGTGCATAGTATGGATTCTACAAAGATATGTAACCATATATTGGTGCATCGCATAGAGATTGATACGGTATTCGTATGATGGAAGCGGGCCTGGCAGAGAATTCCAGATGTTGGAATTGGGCTCTAAGGCCTATTTGGCTAAGAAAAAGGGAAAATCTTTAGATTAGCTCGGGAAAATGTTCTCAACTGAGTTGTGGTAGCACAGGTAGGTGCTCGAGGTGTTAAACAGTGATTTCAGACAACTCCAGAGCCATCCTTAGCAAGTTCGAGGACGAACGTATGTTTAAGTAGAAGAGAATATAACGATCCGACCGGTTGTTTTGAGCTCTAGCACATTGTTCGGTGGTTTGAGGCCATGAGCAGCTTCACTACGAGACTTGTACATATGGTCGGAATTGAATTTCGGGAAGTTTGGAGTTAATTTGGAAAGAAAATTCTCATTTCGGAAGCTTTAAGTTGGAAAATTGACTAAGTTATAATTTTGAGTAAACGAACTCGGAATCCAGATTTGAAGGTTCCAACAGGTTTGTATGATGATTTTGGACTTGGGCATATGTCCTGATCAGATTTTTGATGACCCGGGAGCATTTCAGCGCCTATTGTGGAAATTGGCATTTTGGAAGAATTTCATAAATTTGGGTTGAAGTGCAATTCAGCGTTATCGATGTCCGTTTGGAATTCCAAATCTGGGAATAACTCTGTATAGTAATTCTGATATTTGGAGCGCGTCCGAAAGTGGATTTGGAGGTCCATCGGTCATTTTCTCTACCCCTCCGGGGTAGGGGTAAGGTCTGCGTACACACTATCCTTCTCAGACCCCACTTGTGGGATTTTACTAGGTTGTTGTTCTTGTTGTTGGCGAAAGTTAGAAATTTGAAGGTTTTTGAGAAGCTTGACTGGGAGTGAACTTTTTGATATCAGGGTCGGATTCCGATTCCGGAAGTTGGAGTTGGCTTGTAATGTCAAATGTGACTTGTGTGCAAAATTTGAGGTTAATCGGACGTGAATTGATAGGTTTCGGCATCGAATGAAGAAGTTTGAAGTTCTAAAGTTCATAAAGCTTGAATTGAGTGTGATTCATGATTTTGGTGTTGTTTGATGCGATTTGAGGCCTCGAGCAGGTCCGTGTTATGTTTTGGGACTGGTTTATATAATTGGACGGGTCCCGGGAGCCTCGGGTGGATTCCGGGTGGTTAATAGATCGAATTTGGAATTTGAGAAAGGCTAATGCTGCTGATATCTGGTGTAATCGCACCTGCGTGGAAAAGGCCACAGGTGTAAGCCCGCATGGTGCGTCTATGGGAATCGCAGAAGCGATATTTGGACGGAGCTGGGATGGTCGTGGATGCAAGGTTATGGCCCGCAGATGCGAGGTGAGCTCCATAGGTGCGGAATGCGAGAGAGGCAGCTGGGTTGCAGAAGCGGAAAGCCATTCGCACGTGCGAAGGCGCAGAATTGCATGGGTGACTGCAGAAGTGGATTCCGCTTAGCTTGGAGGGAACCGCACCTGTAATGGACTTTACATAGGTGCGGCTAGTGTACCGCAGGTGCGGAAGGACGGCTGGGCAGATTGCTTTAAAGACGGGATTTGGCCCATTTTTCTCCCATTTTTAATAAAAGAATTGTTTACCTGCTTCATGTTATTGAGTTTACAGTCGTCTTATAAAATCCATAATTTATCATATTATCGGTATATTATTGTTGGCCATAGTAAGTGAGGAGTCGACCTCTTGTCACTACTTCTTCGAGATTAGACTTGATACTTACTGGGTACGGGTTATTTTCGTACTCATACTACACTTGTTGTACATTTTGTTGTACATGCACATGTACGTCTAGTGGCCTTGTGGGTGCAGCGGCGTGGTTGATATGGGGACTTAGGTAAGCTGCATCTTATGAGACGATCCGCCGCCAGCAGAGTCTCCTTCAGAGTACTTGTATTTTCTTTTCTGTCCAAATTTGTCTTCCGGACAGTTATTGTATTTTATTTTATTTCCTAATAAATCTCATGCACTTGTGACATCGAATTCTGAGATGATTATGGGTTATTCAATATTGAGATTGTGAAAATATTACTATTTACCCTAAAAATTTCCATCTTCTACTATTTAATTAAAGGAAAACTATGGTTTCGAAAATACTAAAAAGAGAATCAAATTAATTATTTATTTTTGGCTTGCCTGACAGCGGTGTCCGGCATCATAACGACCTTTAATGAATTTTGGGTCGTGACAATTATTGAATTCTGGGTTGATGCGAATCTGAGATCTAAAACTTATGTGGATTGTATGCTGCTTGGAATTGATTAAAAACCAATTCCTTGAGCTTAAAAACATTTGAACGGACTGATTTGAGGAGGAATTCTGAACTTCCATTGTTGAGTTCTTATGAGTTTAAAACCGAGTTAAAGTTTTAAGTTTTTTTTTTAAAGTTTTTGGAGTTCACTTCCTTTTTTTCTGTGTATAACACGCAAGTACCAGTTAAGTAAAGTGGTATGTCATAGACACACTTTTGTAAGGTTGAATATGTAAAATAATTTTCGCCGTAAAAAAGTATTTAACACACGATTTGATCTATAGATCATGTGACAATTTATGTATTTCGCCTTATTTTAAGCAAAATTGTACCACTATGTCCTAGTATACTCTTGTGTGATTAACAGTTGCTGCTTTTCTTTGGTTTTCCTTCTGTTTTGAGATATACTATTACTTTTTCCCTTTTGTTTTGACATATCACATATCCTATATATATGTATAACTCCTGAAATGTTTCTCGAACTTTTAGGACCACGATTCTAAGAATAAATTTTTTTAAACATGTGGTTATTCCATGAAACAAGAGATGAGATAATTAAGCCGGTCATATTGGCCACAATTAACCGTATTTTTCTGAATACTATTTTGACAAAAAGAAAAGTAACTAAAAATTATCATTCTCATAAAGAAAAAAAGAAAGAAAAAGAAACAAATTGCAGTTCAGGAGAGGGTGTTCATCACAGAATAAGAGTCTTCAAAAATTTAATATTACTGTAAGATTTCATTCTTTTTCTTGTCAACTGCTCTATATCAAGATTTGAAAAATATTGTGATTTTTGGGCTATTGATTGAAGGATTAATTGTGTGCTTGTGTTTTAGAAAGTGATGGATAGGTATCAGAAAGTGCAGAAGCCAAGAGTTGAGACTTCTATAAAGGAGAATGAGATTAGAATAACAACTCAAGGGAGATTGAGGAACTACATTACTTATGCTACTACTCTTCTCCAGGTACTCTACCTATTCATTCTATATCGACACTTTGGCTATTTTTGTGAATGTGTATGGCCATTTCTGCAATCTTTGCAATTTCTGGGTGCCCTAGTCCAGTTACTTGAGTGTGGAGCCCATTTCTAGTTTGCCTGTCCAATAATTGAGCGCAAAAATTGGAAAGAAATTCAAAAATAACCAGATTTACAAGGGGACATTCAAAAATAGGCACAGTTTCAAAAGTAATCGAAATTTAGTCACTTTTCATGTAAAGATAAATCTGAAGCAAAACACTGCTCAAATCCGAAAAAATACTCCAGTATAATATATCAATCCAACATAATATGCTGGAAGTTCATACACAGGTGCACCGATCTCCAGTATATTATGCTGGAACTTTCCGTGTTACAGCAAAATAGTGGCTATTTTTCAATGACTTTGCAAACGCTGGCTATTTTTGAATGGCCAGTTCGAAATCTGACTAGCCCGTGCTATTTTTACCAAAAATTGATACAATAAATTGGGTCACTTGCTAGTATAGTTCTCTAGTCACGATCGTATTATTTGTTGGAATAATATAGGATAAATTTCCTCTATGGCCAGAAATAGAAAGAATAAATAGGATTTTCAATACTTTATTTATAGACAACTAGTACAAATTACCAAGCACCCTAATTGGATTAGGGATGTAAAGTACATTATAAATGCAACCACTGGTACCTTTTTATTCTCTATGTTTCTTTGGCTATTTTGTGAAATGGTGTAGTAAAATAACATAAGCTTTTCTTTATTTTGGGATCTTAATGGTTGATTTACATGAGTGCGGAACCGTGCTGGTGAAAATAGGTCCTTTTGATAAATGGAAATATAAACTAGATAAAGGTTGCACCTTTCTCCTTCATGTGATATACCTTTGTCTCTCCGGCTATTTTTGTAAAATGGGTGGTCACTTCTACATTATATGCATTTGGTTCAGTTACTCGAGAATTCCTTGATGAATAACTTAGAAAACAATAGCTTTTATAAGAGAGAAGGAGAAGTAATTCAGGCAGGAAAAAAGTTATTACAGTGCCTTGTTTTGGTTTAGTTACTTGAGTATATATGTCAGATATAAGTGCTGATAAAAATTGTTTCTTTAATTAATTAAAGGATGAGAAAAATATTTGAAGTAGGATAAAAATTTCATGGTATTGGCCAAATGTCATATCATTTGAAATACAGTTCAATTAATGTATATCGCCATGCAACAATATGTTGTATGGTATCTTTGTTAAACCACATATTCAATTCTATTGAATCATTGTAAACTATATATGATGTATCATGTTTCTGTGAGTTTTGTGTCGTGACAATTTTATTTCCTGCTTCGTTTTTGCAGGAAAAAATGTAAAGAAATTGCTCTCAAATCTTAGTAACACAGTAATGATCGCGGAACTAATAAAGGTGCGCGCGGCAGATTGTAGCATGTTTATGTCCTTTTACTGCATTCTTTGAAAATTGTCTTTTAATACAATACATCTCCTCTCTGTTTCCAAGCTCAATATATATAAAGCATTTAACAAGATAATTATCTTTACGTATATATATATCAGAGAAAGATGGTTGGCCTTCATCACTGATCGATATGTGGGAACCTTTAGAAGAAGGACTTCTTCCGCAAGTTGCATCTTCTGTCCATGAAATATTTTTCAGGTTGTTTGACAATTTGCTCAATTTTCTGCAGCCTCGAGACTACTCAATATGAGCACTGCATTTAGTACCCTTCCTTTTCTTGAATTGGTTAGCTCACTTAGCTTGTGATCAATCAATGCTTTTTCGAAATGCCATACTAGTCAAAATGCTATTTTTTTCAGGTTATGGCTTAAAGGCGCATGAATTATTTCAAAAGTTTGTAGAATTTTGCAGGTACCAACCACCTATTCCAGCAGATCAAGTAAGACCAGTGATTGAATATGACTATGCAGGAGGTATAGTTGTTTAATTTTGCATATGTCTTTTCTGCATTATCTTTTGAATTCTTAAATTTTCTTTTTTTTTTTCCTTCACATGTTTGGAGGAATGAAAAAAGTTGGATTTGAAGCTAAGGTTGAGGTTCTCTCTGTTCCATTTTATTCGGCTATATCCTCAACCAATTTGGTCATAGTGGTGGAATCAATAGGCTAGGCAATTGGTAAAACACTTACCCAGGCCTACATAAATGTACATGTAGCGAGGCACTAACAAAATTTCATCAATCTTCAAAATTAATCAAAAAGAAGAAAAAAGATAAAAGAATAAAATTTCATCAATCTTGGTTTACTGTGTACAGGACGTTTTAACAATGGCGTGCCCGGATATGGTGGAGGGCGTGGATATAATGGGAGAGGCCGAAATGGAGGAAGAGGTCGTGGTGCTTATCGTGGACGTGGTAACAACTATGTTGGACTAGCTGGTTCAATGCCCATTCAGGGCCAGGGTAAGCTCCTTCCTAAGGTGTACAACTTCGTTTTACCCTAAGATGTATAGTAGTACTAAGTTTTAATGTAAAAGGTATTGATTCTGCTATCATTTGATGTATAACTGCTGGTGATTGAATTGTATCCACTCCCATTAGTTTACCTCCACAAATGACAAGAATATAGATTTTATGTAGGTTAAATAGCCAAATATTAATTAAAAAAAATATACTTATCTGTTTGTTCTGATATGATGTCTTATCTTTTTACACAACATCGGATTTCTTGCAGGCCGAGGCCAAGGACTAGGATGGAGTAGAGGTCGTGGTCAGGGTATTAAATCAAATGGTCCTCTCCAGGCACCAGCTGCCTATGTCTGAATTTAGGTATAGGATGTTTTTGATGTCTACTTTGCTTGAAAATTTCTTACTTTAAAGACACAACGCAAGGACATTAGATAAACTTTAGTCATGGATATATATAGGGTTTGTGCAAAAGTTATTGAGTTATCCTGCGAACCCCGTAGCTTATCCTCTAGATTTACCAATGACTTTCAGGGCTACTGCACGAGTCAAAACTGCTTTTGTAGTTTCACCAACTTATACTCTAGATCGCCACTGACTTTCCTGACCATTGCGCGAGTCAGAACTACTTTTGTAGTGTTCAACAATTCCTTACTATTCAAATTGCTATTGCGAAATCCACCTCTATCTGATGAGACTTTGTTCTCTCATCGCATCCATCGTTATTACTCTTGAATCTTACATAGTTTTTCTTTTCTTTTCACACTTATATTATGTGTCTGAATTGCGTTATGAGCAGAAATTGCATATTGGAAATGGACAAATCCACAACAGTATCCTTCCTCAAAAGTTTTGATCTGAACGTTACAATTGTGAACTTGTCCCAATTGTCTAATGACTAAATAGAGCTCTCTTTTTGTTGTGTTGGTTGGCAATCCTCCAACATATATATCAATTCACATTGGTTTTCCTAAAAAGATAAAACAAAAATTAGACTCAACAAAATGATGAAGTTATTTAACATTGTACAACGACATTAAATACGAGAAATCTAGTGTTAAAAGGGACAAGTTCTTGTTCTGCATTCGTTGGGCTATCAAGTGGCATTCAAATCTTGATTCTCAAGTGGGTCATTTACTATTGGTTCTCCAGTTGGTCCTAATGTAATGAATTAACTATGTCGTGTTCAAGAAAGCCATTAGCTATGGCAAGCATTTCATCATCATGCAAATCTTGGTTGCAATACGGGCCCTGTGCCATGGGGTTATGAAGTGGCACCGATGGCTCAAATGTGTTAGCCTTCAAGAGTGACAAGCATTTCTTTATAATCATTATCATCAAATTGGAATTGTTATTTTCTTATGCATAAATGGACAAAGTTACTGGAGCTTTCGACACACCATTTGAATTTGAAGTTAGTGCCTTTAGTAAGTCATTGGCTTGGGGTTCTTTAGGCTGATGGAAAATCAACATCTGCAACAACCCTTACAATTTTGTATGGGGCATCTGTTAGCAGTGAGAACGTACCCCACTTTATCATTGAAGCATAGCCAACTTTAATACCATCATTCTCAACGATTGAGGGCCTCTCGATTGTTTTTTTACTTTTTTTCCTACCCACCGTTAAACCATATATTTGAGCAAATCTATGCTAACAATGGAGATTTTTTCCAACTCAAACAGTAAAAACAGTAGAAAAGTTTGAACAGCAATTGTATACGCAAATTGTCCTACCAATAACTAAATCATATACTTGAGCAAAGCCATGCTTACTGATGAGTATTTTTTCATACTTTCTTCAATAACCTGTACATCTTGAATTAAAGAGCAGACTATGTTAAATTGCCGGATTTTTCGATACAGAGTTCCAATATAACCTCTCATTGGTTCCTAGTGTTTTCTCCGATCTTTTCCTCCACAACCTTCTCAGAAGTATCTCAACCTCTTTTTGTACAAGCTCTGGCACAACCTTCTCAGACCCACGAGCTCTTCTACATGCTTCTCCAAAGACTCCCCAGCCTCTCTCATTATTATCTCTAACTTTAGAATTTCTTTCGGGAGCATTGACAAAATCTTTGATTCCACTTTTTGTGATTTTCCTTTATGATTCTAATTCTTGTGTTACCAACTCCAAAGCTTGTTTCTGTGTATTTTCGGTCACCTTCGTAATAGAAGCTACCATAGATATTTTAGAATTTTCTTAATTTTTTAGAATTTCAGCGTGTATTATTTTTAATTGCTTATTTTGTTAGTACATTAATATCAAACTAGGTATCCCGACTACAAGATCAGTTTTAATGATGCAGTCAATATTATCAGCAACCTTTCAACATCTATAGGTTTCAAAGGCTTCTTAAGTAGCAAGCTTTTGGTTGCCTACTCTTTCTGTTACAAATTTTGCGAATTGAAGCACCAAGGGATAATATTTTTGGGTTTTCTACAGTTTGTTGATGATACTTGATCCACGACGAACTTCACCAACGAGTTATAGTGCTTAAGCCATTTTTAGTTTCCTAGTTTCACTATTTTATTTTATTTTGAATTGATTATGCTTTGAGTCTAGAACGAGAATTCTATTTATACTAGGATATTCTAGATGAAAAGTTTGAATTTGATTAGTGTCTTACTTACAAATAGTTACTAAAATCTTTTTTATGTGGTTAATTATTCATTAATATTATTAAATACTAGATAATTTCCTTTCTTTCAAAGTCTTGAAGACAAATTTTCAAGACAAAATTACATTAGATATCACTTGGGCCTACTCATCCGAAAATGATCCATATTTGAAGCCCTAACCTAGTTCGGCCAGGTTGTACATATTTTGAATTTTTTTTTGCACTCATTAGCCCATAGTAAATTAGTAACGGTAATTTATTTATTTTTTGGCTTTCACTCTCTCTTCTTCTCACATTTTCTACATATGCTTCAAGGAGTCGTCCGCCAAAACTGTTTCTCCCTCTGTGTCACCTGGTTGCAATGTAAGAAAATTGAAGAGTTGAAGTCCACCATTGAAGGCCACTCAAAGCTTCGGTTTCGAAAATAGGATTTTTTGCGTTTGTTAGTTGTTTGTATTTGGTGCTGTTCCAATTGATTGAAAATATCAAAAGAAGTTCAAAATTTAAATTTGAAGTGATTTGGAGTAGATTTTGAGCAAGATTTGAGTTAAATTTCATAAAAGACGCAAGGAAGAATACGAAGTCAGTTTTTGGTATAATTATGTATAATCATGTATAATAGTGTATAAACACATCTTATACACTATCATACACCTTTATACAAGCGTCCGGAGACGAACTTCTTTCACGATTTTCAGTTGCAATTCTTGTTCAAAACAAGTCCAAATCTCCATTAAATGACTTCAAGAATTACAAGAAAATATACTTGATATCACACCATAACAAAAAATGGCCCACGTTTTTAAGTTTTACCCGACCTAGCCCATATTGTACATATTTTAAAAGTACTAGCAAATTCAAAATCTATGGAGTTAAATTTGTGTTCTCACAATCATTACTTTCACTCTCTTTTCTTCTCACATCTTCTACATATCCTTCAAGGGGTCGTCCGCCATTACTGCTTCTCCCCCTGTGTCACCTGGTTGTAATGTAAGGAAATTAAAGAGTGGAAGTCCACCATTGAAGGCTATTCAAAGTTTTGCTTTCGAAAATAGGATTTTTGAGTTTGTTAGTTTTTTAGATTGGTTATTGTTCCAATTGATTGAAAATATCAAAAGGAGTTCAAAATTTCAATTTGAAGTGATTTTTAGTAGATTTGAGCAAGATTTGAGTTAAATTTCAGAAAAACGCAAGGAAGAAGACGAAGTCAGTTTTTTGTATAATAGTGTATATGGGTGTATAAACATATCTTATACACTATTATACACCATTATACAAGCATCTGTAGACGAACTTCTTCCACGATTTTCATTTGCAATTCTTGTTCAAAACCAATCCAAATCTCCATTAAATGACTTCAAATTTTATATACAACCTCCTTATACTATTTCTAATATTTCTAAATAATACACACTCCAAATTTATCATAAAATCAAATTCGGAATCTAAACCCACATATTTAAGCTTGCTAAACATATGTTTTTCACCATTCAAATGAATTTGGTTTGTTGAACTAATATTTGAGTTATAGTTGCTGATTCGAAAATTAACTTAAAAGCTTGAGCAATCTTTTTTAAAAATTAAATAGTAATTTCGAGAATTTATTGGAGTTGATGTTGAATCTTAGCCTATTATTTTTGGGCTAGTTGGTTGTAAATTGAAATATGGGCTATAAAATTGAAAAAGTAGGGTCCCAGTTGTTCTTATGTGAAATTTTCTCAATTTTATATACAACTGTCTTATACTATTTCTAACTAGTCTAAATAACACCCACTCCAAATTTCTCTAAATTCGAAATTTAAACCCACATATTTAAACTTGTTAAAAATCTAATTTTCACCACCCAAATGGATTTGGTTTGTTGAATTAATATTTGAGTTATAGTTACTGATTCATAAATTAACTTAAAAGCTTGAGTAATCTTTTTTAAAAATTGAATAGCAATTTCGAGGATCTATTGGAGTTGGATGTTGAATGTTAGCCTATTATTTTGGGTTAGTCGGTTGTAAATTAAAATATAGGCTATAAAATTGAAAAGTAGTGAGCCCAATTATTTTTATGTGAAATTTTCCCGGTAATTCCCACTCTAAAATATTCACCAATCAGGTTAATGTAAGTTGCATAGAAAATTTAGGAAAGAAAAAATGGCTTATTTTCTGATGAAGCTTCGTACATAGAATGAGATTAGCTTGTTTTGCCCATATTACTGTGTAATTTGGACAATAGAGCCAAGACACGGAGAATGAAAAATTGTAAATTGTCCCCGTGTCATGAATCCATGGTTTCATTATTGTTACTTTATCTTTATGACTTTTTATCAAAATTCCATCTCGTGAGGCTATAAAATAAACATTTTAGAGCATAAATAGATTAGCACAGGAATCCAAAATAACAACTGGATTAAAGGAAACCCAAAAGAACAAGGAAAAGGGCATACGAGCGAAGGAAGTGTGCTTGTCTCTTAATTAATTATGATACTAGTCTTAGGTATGTGTTTTGCATGTGTATTGATAATAAGCTAGATTCATATAATTTGGCGACTATTTATGCCTCAACTTGATTATGCTTCACCGTTCTAGGAAGGTTAAATGACGATAAAATGGCTCTAATTGTGAATTTCATGTTTTGCAGGAGCAAGTTGTGCTTATGAGAACTTAGGACAGTGTTTGGAGCTAAATTAAAGCAAGGAAAACCCCTCGGAGTTGAATACGTATGAAAGAAGAAAGAAAAGAAAAGATAAAATGTTGATCCATATGCGCGGCCACTGGCGCGGTTCAAGCGCGGTTGCGCTAGCCATTCCGGAATGCAGAAATTGCAAGGGTAAACTTGAAAGTTGGGAGGCAATTCCACTTAACCTATAGGAGGTCCAGCTCGCCCAAAAAGAGAATATCAAGGTCTTTAGAGTTTTGTTGAAGGCAAGAAGAGGCAAGAGGCAAGGAGGATAATTCGACATCGAGTTCTACCTTTCTTCCTTTTGTATTTATCATTCATGATGAATTTTGCTATTGTTATTATGAACACGATTATGAGTAGCTAATTATTTAGTCTAGGGTTTTAATGGAACCTGTTGAGAGATGAACTTCTTGTTGTGTTAATATAGCTTGCCCAGTTT